GACAAGCAATTATAGTCCCCGACATGGCAAATTTAAAAACAAAATACTCTTGTGAAGAGTTGTCTCAATGGCAATCATAACACATCATTTTTTTATATTTACGACCTGATTTATGCACAATACAATAAACCCAAAAAACACAAATATGATATTCAACAACAAATGACAACCGCTGAATTGCCGTCTCCTGACTTTAAGTTTTGTAGAGTGGTTGACTCCATTGTCCATTGTATTCACATGTTTGGATTAATCTATCATTATCTAACTAGCATGTGTTGTTTTCTATCTCTATCATTACCATGAAATTTGCAAATATTTGTTAATGCAAGACAATGAAGCATGGACAGCATAAACAAAGTAAGTACAACTATTTATGTTTTCTTTAGAAAATGTTAGATATTAGATATAATTAATAAAAACCTGGCTATCGTTGCAGAGTTGAGGTTCCATAACCAAACATCTACCAATACACTAGTTGGACAAGAAGGTATAGAAATGGAAATCAATTGTTCCACTGACACAGTACAGTATATTACTGCTTTAAAGATTGAATCAAATGGATCTATCAAAGCCATTGGTGACAATAAAACTGTGAGCTATTCGTTTATACCGGATCGAAAAGATCATCTCACAAAATATAAATGTGTGGACAGTGCACACTTATCAATAATGATTGAATCTATATTGACCATAATGTGTAAGTATGTACAATGATGTCATAATAATAGTCATTTTGTAATCTGGTAATGAAGTTTAATTTTGGTTATCGGAATACATACTGAAAGTATCATTTTGAGGATGTCAGTAAATGTGAACAAACTACTCGAAAATTTAAAATGTTGGAAATCATTGTTTTTGTAAGCTTGGAAATTCGGGGAAGGGACTGTTATCGACGATTAGACACATAACCATGCTGACGAGTTATCAGCATGATTTTGAAATGTATTCATGTCTTATAACATCCTCACTGTACATAGTGCAATATATCTTACTTGATTGTATTTTAACTTCAAACGGCAAAAAGAAATCAGATATGAATGTGTTAAGGTTTGTTTATACTGGGTCCTGTTTAGTCATATTCTATCAGACAAGCTCATAAATTACATTTCTGCAGGAAATTGACATTATACACCACATACACCGTTTCATTACATTGAGCCGACAAATCTTTTCTTTCACTTGTAAATGCCGCATAATTGGCACAGAACTAGAAATTTAAAACACTTTTTGAGGCGGTCAATAATCAAATGCTCTTCTTTGGCGCTAAATGCACGCTGCTATAAGACCACAGAAACAGTTCGATTAAACTTTAAGGAAGACTTAAACACATTAAGTAAGTTAATATATTTCTTATACACTCATATTGCAGAAATAAAATATGGTCAGAATACCTTTTGATGATTAAGCAATAAATGATATGCGCATTCCGTTGAAGAAAGATATCTTGCATATTTGTATATTGGAAATCATTTATTACTCACAATTACATGCTTAAGTCATTCCGATATTCTGTGATCAATCGCATGCAAAATCTTATTGTTAACATTGTTTTGCAGATGCCCCTCCACCTAAAAGTCGTTATACGAATGAAACAATAACATGTAATTGCGATGGAGTTCCAGCATCTTGCAGTGTGTACCGGTTAGATCAGATATCAACGTATGGGAAACTTGTCCGCTCTATACATTTGAAGAATGAATCATTCACTTTCAACACGGAACCTTTTCCATACCAGAGAAATGGTAGATACATGTGTGTTGTTAGTAATGGGATTCCAGATATTAATGGAAATGTATTACAGACTTGGTCAACAGATGTAAAATATGAAGGTTAAGTAAATTAATTTAAATTATTGATTTAAGTCCTTGAATATTTTTTTTAATATAGGTTATTTATTAAGTTTGTCATTATAATTTAAGATGCCTAATGGTATTTATAAAAATGCACATGACAACAAGTATTTGACAGATTTTCGGTTAGCAAGTAGAATGTAGCTAATCTGCCTGAAAATGATATAAACGATGAATTCAAATCCAAAGATAAGGAACAAAAGAATGGATGGTTATCTCTAAGGTCTTTTGATATAAGCATCATAATAAATGTTTATGTGATGGCAAAAAATAACAATGGAATACAAATTAAGGATATCTACCGGTTAAGCTTAAAAACATTACAAGAGTTAATATTGTATAGTTTTACAACATATGATTGTAGTCATGGCTTATGTTTAATGAGGTTTACTAATCAGTTGGTGTTGTTAAATATTGTGCATTTGTGTTAATTTCTCGTTTAACTAAAATCTCCGTATATGGAAAGTCAATGATACCTAAAGCGTAAATAGATCAAAACGTGTACATAGTTTGGCCCCCACAAAATGTCACGAACGTTAATGTTAGTGAAATCCTGCTATGAATAAATTGGTTTGGCCAAAAGTTCCATGTTTAGTTGTTATGTATTCGAGATACTTTCCATGTTCAAAGGATATTCTTAAAAATTTAAAGATAGGAAGTGACAGCTTGGTAAATATAAATCAGCTTACATGATGAACACTACCGTTATTATTCTATGTAGAAACATTCCAGCAGTGCTTGCATACGGAGTATATATATCCTAGTTGATACGACATTCCAGAGCTCGTCTGCCCTATCACAATTTACATGATAGAGGATTGATGCTTACAACAAGGTTTAGAAACCAAGAGGTCAAAGTGGTGAATTTGAAATCATCGCTTTGTAAATTTTATAGACGCCATCGATATTTGGCAGAACGTTATGATATACATGTACATGCATCTGTTTCACAGATGACGACGGATTTGTTACAATAGTCGTCACTACAATTCCGTCTCCTTTTCCCCGAATGCAACCTTCCGAATTAGACTTATCACGGGGTTTGTGCTTACATGAGCGACACGACGAGCGCCTGAGATCACCCCCAGGTTTGTGTGGGGTTCATGTTGCTCAGTGTGTTTTCTATGTTGTGTTTTGTGTCCTTTTGATTACCTTTTTCTTTTTAAGCCATGGCGTTGTCAGTTCATGTTCGGCTTATAAGTTTGAATGTCCCTTTGGTGTCTTTCGCCTTCTTTTATTAAGTTTTTGACAAAATATGAAATAATTTATTGTCATCAAGTGCACGTCATACAGATAAGGTTAATCCGGAATACTGTTTTCATTTATCTATTATCAATGCAATAATTGCACAGATATTGCAAATAAAACAAGCTGACACATTTTGTATATTGAAGAACATGATAATTTATTTAAGTAAGCCTCTATGTGTACATATCTTTAATAACGGCATTACTATCATTACATACTTACAGTACTGTAAAGTGCTTAAAACTCTTCATTGTAATTATTAATGAATATAATGTTAACTCAGAGTGAGGAATTGTATGTTCGTTTAGTTGCAGTTCAAATAAATACATTTCAAAATTTGAGTTACAAATGTATGTTATTCTATAGTCAACATTCATTTTACATCAAACGCTAGTTTATTGTGTGAATACGTTAGCTAAGATTTAAATATACAGAAATCATCAATCTGCCTTTTTATGAAATGCAAAAGTCCTGTTTTAAATGTATCGGAATATCAGTAATGGCTATTTTGACAACCCGGGGTCCATACATCTGATTTTTTCTTCAATTAACGAGAGTATAGCTTTTTATATTATTTCAGTATTTTTTCATCTCCATTTTAAGTAATATAAAGTTATTCAAATTCACACAATAACATAAATTGTTCACATTTTACCCAACCAGTACTATCAATCTATTTTATTTTTTTGTCTGTTTTAAAATTCAATTGGTAATCAATTTAAAACAAAAAATCTGTGAAGTTGATATGTGTGTTTTCAAGCAGTTGTTATATAGGAATAAGAAGATGTGGTATGAAGGTCAATGAGAAGTCATCTGATGTGTTTACAAAATTAAGTTAATGTATTGTGTAATTTGATATTTCGAATACTAATATTTATCAAATTATAGTTATCTTTTCTGGTTTTCAAGATGTTATACACTTAATTGAACTTGCATTTTACTTCAACATACACGTTTTATCTTATTTTATTGTGACCACCATGCTGGTTTATGAATAGTGCACGTATTCACAAACTTTCTTTAGTCATTAACAGATTCAATTATGTGACATCTGGTGTGAATTGGTTATGTTATTAAAAGGAGGTGATCAACACAAACCTTTCCGACGGACAACGGACAACAGACTCAATGTGATGGCAAGAGCTTATAATAACGTACCAATGTTAATGCTCCATATAGTAGTTTTTTTAGATAAACAATTGAATACCTCAAGGAAAGTCTATAAAGACTCGCATTGCGTTGTAATTCTTCCAAGGTGTATTGTAGAATTATTGGTAATAAGCTCTTTAAATAGAATAACAAAGCTGCAGGTTTTCGAGTAAATAGACATTAAAGAAGTGTCAATAGTTTACCGATATTCAAATGTCGTAAATCGATTAATTAATGACAACTCAAGTTTATATAAAAATAAGGAATCGCTTTAACTCTAAAATAACTGAGACCGTGTGCGACGACTGGGTGAGCGTCTTCTTCTATGCATGCATCCCCAATTTATCACTCAGTCAAAATGTCACACGAAAGACAGTATAATTAAGGATAATACGATGTTACGGGAACTTATCGGTTTATGACTTTTGAACAGCGGTATACTACTGTTGCCCTTATTTGACAGTTCAAACCACGATAAATCGATTGACTAGCACATTTTGATGTTGATCGTAAAACTTATAAAGTGAATATGTTAAGGCACACCCCTGTCAATGATATCCGTATATTGTGAGCATCAATATAAATGAAATGAAGGAATGTGGTGTTATAATGCATTACATAAAATATGTTCCTATGGTAAATTATGTATACCCGATGAACCTATTTTTTTAATTTTTACAGAGGACAATGTGATCTGTATAACAATAGATATGTTTCCTCTTATTTCCGAAATTTAAAAGAAGGATTTTTCGATTCAGTGTTATTTATTGCAAACTTGATATTCCATAAGTCGGTAATGATAGCATTAATCACTATTTAGATTGCGTTTTTTTTCGACGATTGCTTCAGATTAATATTGTCTTTCAAAGGCCCACCTATCTCCAGAAATCAAAATCGTAAAACACAGGAAAAGAAGGATAATCAATAACACTGTAGTTGTATATCTTCAGCTGCACAAATGTTGAAGAAATATTTAAAACACGTCTTCATAATGGATATATAAACTTCGTCAAAATCCACTTTCACGAATATTATTAGCCGTATCATTATGATTGTGGACTTAACATTTTTAATAAAGTTCTTACCAAATTACTTCTATAGTAAAATAGTTAAATGAGGTATGTTCAACCAGGATAGTCAACCAGAGTGGATTTTGTAACTTTTAAAGATCTATTGCAGAATCGTACCAGTTAATGTTATTATCATAAGTATCAAATAATTACAATAAACTGTAATGCTTTTTAATTCATTGCAATTTTTTCCTAATGAATAGGAATAACATTGTTTTTTTTATAGGTCCACCTGTATTTGCACCGGAAAACAGAAATTTAAAAAAAGGAGAAGTGGGACAGTCAATAACACTGTCGTTTCATATCTACAGTTGCCCTGATGTTGAAGAAATAATTATTGAAAACATAAGAGAGAAGCCAACCAAAAGTACACAAATAAAGCATTACAATATTTTGAATTCTACATTGCTTTACTCCGAGTTTAACAACACCGTAGGAATTAAAGGTTACGAGATTTTAATCAAAAGTAAAGTATTGGACAAAGATGATTTTCATGTCTATCGTATTACGGCAAAGAATCGTCTTGGTAAAAGCAGCTATCATTTTAAAATTGTAGATATTGGTAAGTAAATTACATTTAAAAGAAATATCTTACCAAAACGATAATGAAAGAACATGAATAACATTAAATAAACCAGTTAATGTTAAAAAGATACACAACAGTAAGCAAACCACTGCATAAAAAAAGAACTAATCAACACGAATCACACCAAAACCATCGGATATCCAGGAGCTTCGAAAGTATATGCTCAACACGTGGCACCGGTTGTATCGATCACGGCAAATGTAATACGGTTAAAAAGTCTCATTTGGTATTTTCACGACAAAAAGAGGAAGTGGTTGTGGTTTTGACAATTGGAAGGTATCCAAGAGTATGGAATAGTTCGTTTAATGATCATGTGTTCCTAATTATGACTGTCGATACAAAGCTTGGCAGGACCATTGGGACTGTTGGGTCACCAATGCTCTCAACTCTTTAGTTTATATGGCTTTTTTAAATTTTTTTATTTGAACGTCACTGATGAATCTTTTTAGCCGAAACGTGCGTCCTGTGTACAAAATTCTAATAGAAATAAGAAGATGTTGGTTGAGACCCGATGAGACAAAACTCCATCCAAGTCACAATTTGTAAAAACTAAACAATTTTAGGTCAAAGTACGGCCTTCGACACGAAATTTTAGCTCACACCGAACAGCAAGCTATAAAGGGCCCCAGAATGACTAGTGTAAATCAATTAAAACAGGAATACCAACGGTCTAATCTAAATAAAAACGAGAAAAGAGAAACACTTATAAACCACATCAACAAGTACATTTCATCTACTCGATCTAAAACTGAACAAATGTATTTTGCTAAAAACATTGTAATAACTCTGAGTTAATGAATAATTAAATTCTGATGTTGAAACAAATTTTTCTCTGCACTTTCAATTGCTTACACTTACTGATGCCAAACCCACTTTGAATAGTCCCGTTAATATCTTGAATAGCTCACGAGGAGGTTCAAAGACAGAAATTCCGTCGGGAGCTGTTGTATTTAGAAATAAAGGTCAGATGCCATGTAGGGCATTCAGGCGATGATGACCGATTTTTCCACGTTTAAACTTATCATACTTTGTTGACACGTTATATAGACTATCTCCTTGACAAATACCACACGTTAAAGTAACTCTCGCTGTTTAAGTAGAATGTATACCATTATGCAGGTTGTGTGTTTGTATCTATCCTATCTGAATTAATATCTACATGTACAATGTATTTGTACTCTCGTTGACATAAAATAAATGGTCTCATTCTGATGGGAAAGTATATTTTGAGGACTTGAAATGGACATTTGCAAACTATGAGATATTGCTACATTGAAATTGTGTCGTAAGACTACATCAATTAAGAAAGTAAAGATAATTTTCAAACCCGTTCTCTAATTACAGATTTATGGTTCATCAACCAAACAGAGCTCAATACATTAGTTGGACAGGAAGGTATAGGAATGGAGATCAAATGTTCCTCTGACACTGTTCAGTACATTACTGCTTTATTGATAGAATCGAATGAATTAATTAAAGCAATTGGTGATAATTATTCTGTGAGCTATTCGTTTAAACCAGACCGAACCGATCATTTAACAAAATATAAATGTATGGACATTACACACTCGTCAATAGTGATTGAAGTTCAATTAATTGTAAGGTGTAAGTATGTACAATCATGACTGTGTAATCTGGACAAACCTTAAGTATAATTTTCATGGTTTACACGTAAAGATAGTTGTTGCTTCATAAATTACAAGTACGGTTTAAAGACTTAAGTATGTCTTTGTATGTGTACGAAATGTATATAACAAAAAAAAAAAAAACCACTTAATCATGTTGACATTGTGTTTTGTAAGCTATAAAACTCGATCAAGGGCTAGTTTTTGGCTATTTAATACAAAATCATACTGACGAGTTATAGGTATGATTTTGAACTCAAATGTATCCCTGTTTTTGTGTTGTGTTGTGTACTTTCGTCTAGAACCATATGCAGTAGAACATGATTAGCTGAAACTCAAAGTCAAACTGCAAATTGCAATAACAAATTTAGGACAAAAAACCTATAAATGAGATTAAACAGAAGTTTGCGTTTAAGTAAGTCGATTTTGTTGCGTGCAATAGATAAAGGAAGATGTGGTATGATTGCCAATGAGACAACACGCCACAAGAGACCAAGTGACACCGAATTTTAACAATTATAGGACACCGTACTGCCTTCAACAATGAGCAAAGCCCATACCGCGTAGTCAGCTATAAAAGTCCCCGAAATGACAAATGTAAAACAATTCAAACGAGAAAACTAACGGCATACGTATGTACAAAATATATAATGAACGAAAAACAAATAGGTAACACAACAACAAACGACTACCGCTGAGTTACTTGGGACAGGCACACGCAGAAGGTGGCGGTGTTAAACTAGTTTGACGGCGCCATCCCTCCCTAACCTGGGACAGTGGTGTAACAGTACAAAAAAAGAACACACTATAAAAATCTGTTGAAAAAGGCTTAACTCATCAGATGGATACACATAAAAAATACATTTAACACAAAATAGAATGGACGTGGACGGGTACTTATATATCCCCACTACAAAAAGACACTAGGTGCAGATCTGAGAGTACTCGCAGTTACTGACAGTCCAAAGCCAATAACAACCAATAAAACATCATGCATCTAGGACTAAATTATCAATCCGTACACATCCAACATCAAATGAATTAGTGTAAAGTCGTCATAAAATAGTCAGAGAATAACATGACCTTGTGCAATTCTAAGAAACAGGTATCGACAAATTGTAAAGTCATGAATGTGCATATGTATATAACAATCATATTTAGTTTTAGTTTAATTTACTAATAATAAAACCAATATTAATACCAATAAAAACAATATTCAAAGATCTAATTACAGTGTTGAATTGGTTACCTTTCAAATTAAGTGTATTTAAAGGATCGAAAAGTTTACCAAGCATTGCAAGCTCACAAGATAACTGTCTGCTGGGAGACACACTTTTATGTTTTCATTACTTTTTTCATTAATACCAAACTATTGGCACAGAACTAGAAAATTCCAACATTATAGCTTTTATTTATCTCTGCCGGAAAACAAAGAACGCATGCTCCTGCACTCTATGTACGCTAACAAAAATCATACCATCGGATCGGTTTCAGTGAAAGACAAAGACTTTATCACATACAGTACGTTGAAATATCAAATAAGAATCTCATATCGCAGAAACATAAACGTTATTGTGTGTGCTGAAAACCTGCTGAAAAAAAAACAATAGGAATGATTTGCAGACTTCCGATGAAAAAATTTAGATGATATACGTGTACGTTTAGAAGCATTTATTATTCACTATTATATGGCATATACATGCTACCACCATTACATTTTTGTTCTATGACTGTTTTTGAAAAAGTTTATCGTATATGTTTAATTTATTTTTGACCATAAATGTGAACTTTGTTATAAGATATCAAAAAGGGCACTCTGTTTTAAAATGGATGAATTCAAAAGCCTAAGACATTCATGATAGCACATAATAGGCTCCAACGGCAGCACATTTTGGACATATTTTTTGGACCTCAAAGTTTAAAGAAAATCTTGGCTGCTATCTTCAATCCAAAATGTTCTGTAAACAAAAGTTGCCAAGCTTGACATTGTATTCCTAGACTCAAATGGTGAAATGAGGGTGCCGGCTATTATGAATTGTTCTAAAAATTGCCATGAATCATGAAAAATTGGATCACCAATTACGTTACACAACAAATCATTCAATATTTCATACTGTCGTAAATTAATAATGTGGGGTGCCAAAAAGATGTTTTGATGTACAGGAATTATTATAGCAACTGATCATCTGTAAAATGTTTGTATTTGGTCTGATTTATAAAAAAAAAAAGAAAAAAACATAAGAACTTTCGAGTCAATTTTAACCCTTTTTGAACCTATTCTTTCAATTACTAACATTGCATTGTAGATGCTCCTGCAATTAAAGGCCTTTATACGAATAAAACGATAAAATGTGATTGCGATGGCGTTCCAGCAATATACAGTGTGTACCGGTTAGATCAAATATCAAAGTATGGGGAACTTGTCCGTTCAGTAAACATGAGTAATGAAACAATCAATATCAACACGGACCATTTTCCGTACCAGATAAATGGTATATATATGTGCGTCGTTAGTAATGGTGTACCGAGTACTAATGGAAAAGTTCTACAGACATGGTCAACACATGTAAAATATGAAGGTAACATTAATAAATTTAAAACTGATTCATTTATGTCCTATCCATTTATTGTATAAGTTTTTTTTTATTACGATGTATATGGCAAGTTCGTATAAAATTATTGGTAGTAAGCAGAATGTAGCTAATCAGCTAATCAGCCAAGAAGTCACATAAACAAATGCAGATTCAAACTAATGTTACAAACGAACGAATAATTGTATCGGCGTTCTTTTTATCTAAGCAGCACACTAAATGTATATGCAACGGCAAAGAATAACAATTTGATCAGGGCAATTTTCCAGTAAACCTTGAAACCTTAACACCCATTTAGATTATACTTTATTACCCTATATGTTTATAGTCATGGCCTGGATTACAGTGAACTATACCATCGTATATTTACCACGAGATGCTGTTGGTAGATAATGTGGTTTGTCATGATTGTTGGGTAGTCTAATCATTGAAATTTTCTCAAGATCGCTTTATACTAGTATTTAAATTTAATGATATCCAAAGTGTGAATATATTACATTTGTAAAACATGTAAATATTTTGACTCAAACATGGACACAAAGGCGATGCATGTGATGTTGTGCTAATTACAAATCATCTGTTCATTAGGGATTAGTTTCATGTCCATTTCCTATCAATTGTAGGTAAGTTCCATGTGCTGAGGGTATACATAAAATTTAAAGCACCACCAAACAGAAAGTGACTGCCTGGCAGATTTAAAAATCGCATTCATGGTAAAATTCATCGTTATAAAATTTCAACCTAAAGATAAAATACTTTCTAAAGTAAAAATGAAACAAAATTACAAATAGATGCAACTACAGACAAACGGATTGGCAATGCCATCTCAGTTAGTCATCCACTCTTGAGTGCGGGTATACGAAAAGGTTAGGTTATTTAAGTTTGTTTCACCTCTTGTAATGGTGGATTCAGGTGGTTCTCAGCCAAATACAGGATAATCTGGACATGTTTTGTCATACATAAGTTAAAATGCAATCCTTTCACAAAAAATAAAAAGTCCTTTATCGAAAGGCAAAATCAAAAGCTCCAACACATCAAACGAATAAAAACAACTGTCATATTCCTGACTTGGTACAGGCATTTCCTAACATTGTGTGTAGAAAATGTTTTTTTTTTAACCTTGTTGTATAGCTAACTAAACCTCTCATTTGTATGATAGTCGCATATAATTCCATTATATTGACAATAATGTGTGAGATAAACAAACAAACATAATAGGTAAAAATCTCAAAAATTGGGATACACCAGATAACATTGTGTTATGATCTTAATCACTATAAAAACAACCAATTATTTCAACAAAGAAAAACAAAAACATATAGAAACTCTACAGATAAAGAACATAAGCTAAAAAGAAAGACAAGACTACAAAAATGACCACACACACACTATGGCGGGATATATAAATACAGGGCCACGTCCAAAGTATATTATAGTGTAAACCTACTTGGTTTTATATCCATATGAAACAAAATTCTTACAAAACATGTTCAGCAAACTGAATCATTGTTCTGTTCCAGTTTGTCCGCTACTGACGCGCATTTCGACAATCAATGTCTCTTTAGTGATGTCCGAAGCCAAAATATAGAAAAATCTAAAACATAGTAGAAAAACGAGCTTATAAACCAAAAACGGTATAAAAAGTAGCCAAAGTCAAAAGATAATAGAGTTTAGAATTAGGGCCATATATTCCAAAATTTAAAATAATTGCCAAAAATTGTAACAAAACAATATATGTATTTTCATGCCAGTACCGGAGTACTAGCTATTGTTCTGAACATAACCGTGGGGACTAATACCCCACCATCAGAGAAATTGACATTGTGGTAGCATTAACGGTGTCAATTCTTCTGCACCAGATGCGCAATTCGATAATTAATGTCTCAACAGTGATGCTCGAAGCCAAATTATTTGAATATCAAAAATTTATAGTAAGAATGCATAGTTGACACCAAAAAAGGGCCAACACGTATAGCCAAAGCCGCAAAAGGAAATAGAGCATTGCATGAGGTAGATATATTCCTTGATTTCAAATGATTTTCAAAATGATGTAATAGCAAATTGTACAACACACTTTATGTATTTTCATGTCAGTACCGAAGTAATGGCTACTGGGCTGGAGATATAATTGGGGACATATAGCCCACAAGCAGAGGTATCGACCAAGTGGTGGTAATAACATTAATGGTACAATTTGTTCTACTCTAGATGCGTATTTCGTAATGTTATAATGATAACATAACCATGATAACATGCATAAGTGATTTTAATGATTGAAAAACATCGTAATGAATTTTGATTGAATGTTGTTTCTCTAACTGAATAAGATAATTTTTTCTATCGTAGGACCACCTGTATTTGCATCAGAAAACAGATATTTAAACACTGGAACAGTAGGATTGTCAATAACACTGTCGTTTCAAATCTACAGTTACCCTGATGTTGAAGAAATAGTCATCGAAAACATAGGACCGAAGCCCACCAAAAGTAAGAAATTCAAACATAACAACTTATTGAATTCTACATTGCTTTACTCAGAGTTCAACAACATCGTAGGAGTTGAAGGTTACGAGATTGTGATCGAAAGTGAATTATTGGATATAGATGATTTTCAGGTCTATCGTATTACAGCAAAGAATCGCCTAGGTGAAAGCAATTATTATTTTGCAATTATAGATAATGGTAAGTACACTAACATTAATACAATTGCATAAAAGAAACAGCCAGCACACTACTAAATAGAAAAACAAAAGACTTGGCAAGAAGAAGACCACAAAAGCTTGATAATAATATCAGATGCTTCAGAAGTGTAAGCAAATCTCCCTCAACACTTGGCATTGGTCGTGTTGCTCATTGCAAAAATTTAGTTTTGTAAAAAGTATCATTTATTGTTTGGTACAATCGATGAAAAGAGGAAGTGGTTGTGGTACTGACAACTGGTAAAAAGCTAAGAGTACGGAAGCGTTTGTGTTCCTCAATTAAAGTTAATGATTGTGATTGTCGACACAAAAGAATTGCCGCAGAAGAAAACTACTTGTCATCACATTGTGTTTTACGTTTTGTCAGCATGAACTGCTTGCTGCGATATGAAATATATGATAACCCTTAGTATATATGTAACACTCCCAAAAGTTTCCATCCCCCCAAACGTACCCAATTCCCCCAAACGTGTCTATACCCCAAAATGTGTCCGTAATATTCAATATGGCCAAAACGTCTTTGATTTCAAAACCCCCAAACGTGTCCGATAATTGTTATTCGCCAAAACGTGTCCACTGTTAAACGCCAGAACGTCTCACGTCTTTTAGAGCTAATACATGTATGTTCACTTGTGTTAATATTTCTTTTGATTGAGTTAAGCCATTTCAATTGATATTTTAAAGTGTGTCTTTCTATGTTGTGATGTCGTTTGTTTATGTGGTTCATAAGTGTTTCTCGTTTCTCGTTTTTTATATAGAGTAGACCGTTGGTCTTCCCGTTTGAATAGTTTTACACTAGTAATTTTTGGGGCCCTTTATAGCTTGCTGTGCGGTGTGAGCCAAGGCTCCGTGTTGAAGACCGTACTTTGACCTATTATGGTTTACTTTTATAATTGTGACTTTGATTGAGAGTTGTCTCATCGGCACTCATACCACATCTTTTTATATCTATGTCCTAAATGAAATCAATAACGTTTACGGCAATTCTATCGTTTTGGTGTTGTGTTTGACGTTGCCATTAAAGCGGGAGGATTGGCATGCCACAAAACCAGGTTCAACCCACCATTTTTTTCTTAAAACGTCCTGTACCAAGTCAGGAAAATGGCCATTGTTATATTATAGTTCGTTTCTGTGTGTGTTACATTTTAATGTTGTGCTTTTGTTGTGTCGTTGTTCTCCTCTTATATTTGATGCGTTTCCCTCAGTTTGATTTTTTAACCCGGATTCGTTTTTATCTCTATCGATTTATGAGTGTCGAACAGCGGTATACTACTGTTGCCTTTATCTATGATTTGGGAAACAGTTGATGAGGTGGTAATTTATTAGCATTAGTTTGTTCAATGCCGGTTGTTAATTGTTATCATACTTGCAAATATTATATGTAACAAATGAATAAACTTTTGACTGAATTTGTTTATTGTCCAGTTGCAAGTATTTCATGCTCATTTAGAGCGAACATACAAATAATTCTAGTGCAGTTGAATTAATCGTTTACTATGTAAATTATGTGTTCTAATAAACTCCGATGATGCCTTTTATATTAATCCGACGGCGGGCTTTCAGAAGAATTGACTTCTCTTTTTTGTAACAGTTCTGATATTTTAAAAGCTCTTCAAATCATAAACTGGTTTTCAGGTTTTTAATAAATTTTAGGTTTCGAGCATCACTAAAGACACCGGAACAAGATAAATAACGTCCAGTGCCAAATATTTCATGCATTATTTGAACGACATCATGTTAACAATAATACTGTACATAGGCTCTTTTATCATACCGGGAATTAAGGATTGGGCTTAAATTTTGAAGGTTATTCGGGATTAACACTAGTTGGGATTTTAATTAAAAAAAAATAAAAACGAGTGAAGACCGATTTTTTTATGACTTCAGTAAGAAACTACTGCATTCTCCGTTATGTAATAGAGGCCGTTTTAAATAAAAAATTTTTAAAAATGTTGCCTTCAAAAATACAACTGATGGCACAATGAAAGTGTGAATTGCCACAAAGGTTTTAATGCGCAGAGAATGGGACATTCTCCCTACACGAAGTATCTGATTTAATATATACAATTTAATTGAGCATGGCAGCTTACATTTACATCCAACATAGCCGAACGGACGTCCCCACTTAAACCACGATCACACTAGTATTTTTTTGAATCGATCTAAATATAACTAGTTAGCGTTCACATTATCTTTAATCGTAACGATCTCTACCGGTCTAATCCGAAAAAATGCTCCGGTTCTGAAAAAAAAACAAACAAAAAAACAACAAAACAAACAACAAAAACAACAAAAACAGAAGAAAAGAAGACACACAAATTTATGGTACGGCGAAGACAACTTTTTTTCCATTTGTTTTTACTTGCATGTACACAAAGGTCTGTTTTTAAACAGAGAAATATTGGTTAAACAACGAACCACCGATATTCACTAGGGTGTTATGTTATTACACTTGTAGTTTTGTCGCTATACATGCGCATAGATTATTTTGGATTATTTTGGATTCAAGCGTACTAGTTTAAACCGATCTTTGCGTTCACATTTAAAGTTAGATCGGTTCACTTTAGATCGATTAAAACTAAACTACCTCTTTTGGTGTTTTAGTTTAGACCGATTGAAGATCGATTCAAAGCGTTCACATAAGCCCTTAAAGGTACCGATCTAAAGTGAACCGATCTAGTTTAAATCGATATAAATGTCCTAGTGTGAACGGGGTCTTTAACTCAGGTTATACTGCCGGTTTAAAAAAGACCTAAAGTGATTTATTTCTATTTGTTAATGAAATAGTAAAATGAGTATACTTTAATGAAAAAACAATAACCAAATAACCTATTTATAATATGGACACGAATGATAGTTCCAGTAAAAGATAAAATAATAAACTTGATATGTACACGTTTGGGTGTTCATTAAAAAATGGACACGTTTGGGCGTTTAGACAAATGACACGCTTTGGCGCCCTTTTACATTTAGATATGTTTTGCAGTTCAGTGACGTCATGTGGACACGTTTGGGAGAATCGGACACGTTTTGGGGGGCAGGACACGTTTCTGAGTTACATATATTATTTTCTAAACATGCTAAGCTGGTTGCATTTTGGTACAAAACAAGCTCTTTTTTTACCTATTGTGAATAGTGTAAGGATTTTCTCAATGATGAATATGATTACTCGTTATTTTAAATGTTTTCTTAATAATAACGTCTATGTCGTGATACTTTTTTTCTGTTGCAAAGATTTAAAATTTCTCACGTCATCAAAAGTAAACGACAAAACGTCTTACAGCTTTATTGGGCGACAAGATAAACTAAATAGATAATTTTAAAACATGTGTTTTATGAATATAACTATTTCAGAGAGTCTTCCGTTGAGCAAAAATAAAAGAAGAAACTTTGTGATCCTTTGCAGCATCGCTACCATTATATTTGTTTATTTGATGATTACTCACGTCTGTGTATGTGTAAAACATATAAAAACTCGGGACCAAATACATCATAATGTCGAAGAAGACCACAATTATCATACATATGATGAAATTGGGACAATTTCGTACCGCGCTGTAAGAACCATGCGTTTGTCAGACACCAACGACAATCAAGGCCAGTTCCGGACAGAGCAACATGAAGTTGGTATTTCAACTGGTGTCAATCTGCAATCAACCGATGATGATTCAACTGAATTGATTATAGGCGTTCCCGATAATGGTTTACAGCAAAGCGATACAGCAGATGGCCAAGTGCGACGTATGCATATTTCCATAGATGATAGAAACTCGTCTAGTACAGATTTATCTCATATACAGTCCACTGATATACCAAGCTTTGAAAATACACTAAATTGCGATCAAACCAATGAACAAATCCATACAGAAACCCCAAGTGATCAGCATAGTCAAACAAGTATTGACTCTGAAAGTGAAACGTCACAGAATGTTATGGTAGGCAGTGATGGGGATGGATATGAAAACCCTTATCAGATTGTATTACAAGATCATCAAGATAGTTATCAGTACACTCAGATCACCAGAGAAAGAAACACTAGCATCTCATCTGTTACCAGCCTGCAATCATCCGATGGTAATACAATTGAGTTGAATGCAATCTTTCCCGAATATGTTTTACAACAACGTGATATAACGGGAGTGCAAGTGCAAAATATGCCTATATCCAAGGATGATACGAACTTATATAATACAGATTTGACGCTGACCACGTGCACTGTCGTTCGAATCGTGCAAAGTATCGGAAATAGCAACCATTCTATTAAAAATACAAATAAAGAATCATCAAGTGACAAAAAGAGTCAAGCGAGTGATGACTCTGATAGTGAATCATCAAATAATGTAATGGTAGGTAATGTTGGTGATGGATATGAACATCCTTACCAAATGGTATTACAGGATAATCCGGGATGTAACCCCTACGCCGAAATCATTAGAGAAAGAGATAACAGCAATTCATCTACTGAATCTGATTAAAGTAAAGAGCAACGAATTGGAACAGGCCCGACCAAAAAGCAGATTACACCAATCTTCAATTTTAATTTAAAATTTAAACAAAACATGTTCAAAACAGATAAGAACGCGAATGTTCAATCTACGTGTGTGGATAGTTGAAATATATTTTTTTCGAGAAACTTTGAGATAACTTTTTATAACATGTATAATGCTTAAACAGCTTTTATCGTCAAACAAAATATTGTATGCACACATTTATATTGCACATAATCGTGTCGCCCAGCACTGTTTATTTCAATGTTGTTTGTAATCTACCATAAAAACAAAGCTGCCGATATATTTAAGCGCACGACGATTTGACATCCTTATCAAATTTAAAGCTGCGAGCAATCCTTGAAACGGTATGATTAACAATTGTTGTTAACTTTATATATTTATAACTGCTGTTTATCATACTGTTATATATATAATAGTTAATTGATTTTGTTTTTGTATTTGTTTATTACTTTAAGTCATTCGTTTATTGTTTTACGATCAAGATGTAGGGTAGAAATCCTAGCAAAGAAACCGTAGTTTTGAGTAAGTACGCCAACAATGCCCGGCATAAAGGGTGTTCCGATCAAGATAGTTATACTACTAACTCAATGTCGAATAAAGTCACCAACCTGGCAATAGTTCATATGAATTTCCAGAACCAACGGACGTCCCCAGTTATACCTTGATGTCTTATTTTATCATTCTAGGACATTTAGGACAGTTGTTTTGTTATGTTACTGCCTTATTGGCATATACATGTTATCTGCTTTTGTATATCATACATTACTATGTCATAAATCAATTGTTATTCATGTATGTACAAATACATTGTTTTTCTTTATCTACGTTGTTTGAATTTTAATTAACATGCAGATAATAATAGCAAACTATGTTTTAGGACACATTTTAATAAATTAAAGCTGTTGAACGTGGATCGGCGACAAAAGTATATTTGAAGTGGATAGTGGTGTTATACAAATGGCAGGGGAAACATAAAAATATAAAAAAAATGTACCAAAATAATCAGTGAAAATAATATTTCAAAACATTTTTAGGCTTTGTATATATAAAACAGTATTATACTGTAAACTAACTTATTTTCGCGGATATTTTAGTTCGCGTTTAGCCCTTTCTAGACAACTTCGCGTCGATTTAATTTCGTGATTTTCAAATTGATTTGATGTAGTTAGATAAGGGAAGATCCTTTTTTTAAATGTTCGAGACTTTTTATATTCACTCTATTTTTCTACTCCCGAAAGACGCAAAATTAAATCGCTAACGAAAATAGGTACTTCTTTGTAAGTATGGACACAAAAGATCTTACAAGCATAGGTAGAGTTTATGTATTAATAGTATAACCATTGGTCTCATCAAGTAATGGGTATACAGTAGAAATGAGATATTCCAACTAATACATAAAGACATTATAATCTAGATATAAGTTATTGTTATTTTAGATAGAATCAACATGTTCTGTTATATTTTTCTCAGGTTCTTCTCGATGTTCTAACCGGTAGGTTTGATATGACTTAACATGCATGTATGTTTGCTTCTGTCCCGCAGTTACAGTAGCTTAGTTGTATTTTAAGATAAATTTCCAGCACCTTAAGTATATATTATTGAAATAGCTTTGCTTTAAAACAAAGAATATTTTATGAGAGTTGAAAGAAAAAATGATTTATAAATATACATGCATTTGTATATATACTTATGTTTGCCGTTTGGAATACATGATTGTAACTTTCGTTCATTAAAAGTAAAAGAACAAAAACACTGCTTAGTATGTTAATGACATGTGCTTGTGTTTGCTTTATTTCCCTTTTTTTTGTTAATCTGAATATGTTCTGTCCTTTACCTACTTTTCTGGTACTAGTGCAATTCCATTTCAATGTTTTCGAATACTGATATAAACATCTGGTTCAGCAAGAAGGAGAGACAATAATGTTTGAAAGAATTTAATGACACTAAAATTAACACAGATGTTTTGAACGTCGATGAAATTTAAAGTCTTGATATTAATGATATTAAAATTAATGCGTGTACCGTGTATGAATGCGAGGAACGTACAACGAATACAGACATTCCCCTTTTGGGAGCCACTTCATTTAAACATAGTATTTCATTTGAACACGTGGATGAGAATATGGAACGATGTACATTTAATAAAGAAGTAACGGTTGATATACCCGTGAAACAGGTTATTGATAGTGACCGGAATTTACCTGTAGGAGGGACAATATAGTGTAACGAAAAAGGGAAACAAATAGTGAAACGTAACCATAGTAAAGAAAATGAAATAAAACAACAAACTATTATTGTATGTGATAAAGATTATTTAGAATCGAAACATGAAGAATTGTAGAAATTGTTTGTAAAAGTTTGTAAGAATAAGTCGCACTAGTGGTGATGTGTTGATCGGAAAGATGAACCTTATAGTAACATGTAATGTAAAACGAAAAACTATTGAAGCGGTTGATAAACGGGATACACGATATAAACATTATTTGCGATTACTTTTTCAGGATTTTAATGATATAACTGAGACGGATTTTAATACGAATAAGGCAAAGGAGCAATTCAACTGATGATTAACTATTCGAGATATAATACACTGTCGGCATTATAATTAAGTCATAAGTCGTTTGTGTGAAGGGTTTGCTTGAAGTTTTGTATAATTCTGTGAATTATTAAATTAATTAATATTGATTTGCAGTATATACTTAATTGAAAGACATTTGTTGTCGTCGAATTTATTTTCAGGAATGGAATCCATCTGCAAACGCTACAAATGAACATTGTTGAATTTTTTGAATAGACAGTTAAAATAAATGTTGAATACTACGTATTTATATTTTATAAAATTTTCACTTCCGGTGTAATATGAAATGATTTTTTAAACTGATTTAAAAACATATGGTTGCTAGGGGCTTTTCTGTGAAATAATGGATATCAATAGCTGTTTACAGTTAAACAAATGTCACTTCCGGTTCTATCTTAAAGGTTATTTTACACTGATTCTATATGTATATGGTTTCTATATACTTTGATATAATCATATACTCATATTATATGTCACAATGTTTCATTGTGGTAAGATAGTCAAAATATTGTAAAAGTCCAATTACTCCAGTAATATGGTCAATTTAAAATGACGCTATAATTTGGTAAAAAGTAAAATAACAAAAATACCGAACTCAATTCAAAACGGAAAGTCCCTAATCAAAAGGCAAAATCAAAAGCTCAAACACATCAAACGAATGGATAACAACTGTTATATTCCTGACTTAATATAGGCATTTTCTGCAGATGATGGCAAACAATCCTACAGAGAATGACAGATGTCTGAAAAACGGTCTCAAATGAGTTGCGTTCAGAAGGTGTAATGTCACACTACTCCAACAATTGGTCAACCTCACATAACTTGGGACGGACCAACGGCGATCATTAACATAACATAATCCCCGCAGCTAAGAGCATAGGAGACAAAAGACAAAAGGTGGGGGAACATTATACACTTCAAAAGATGCAAGACAGAATGCGTCTACAGACTGAGCGTATACTGGTTAATACTATTTATTAAATATCGTTCTTAGATGATGTTTCACTACAACACTTTGACTCAACACTTATATATGACAAAGACGGAAAGAATGACGTGATACAAAGAGTCTTTGTTGAAGTGTGTTTCATATTCATACCTGATATAACTGAACCCAAATCATTCAAAACACGTATGATATAAGACGGAAAATACAAGAACTTAAAACTGTGGGTGCATATTTTACTATCTTATTTTGAAACTTCTAGAGAACAGTGTTATCTTGGACTTATCAGTTTTGATCGTCACTTTATTATATTCTGCCTCTTTTTGAAGATGAATAATTATTCTGTCACTCGATTACCATGATGTGTATATGAAATAACCTTGAACACTCAACTCCTAATGAGTTGACGAATGTTGAAGAGGGACTCTTGCTATATGTGTAAACTATATACGAACGAAACTCTGTAAAATATAATGTTATTAATGAAACACAAGATGTAATGAGCAGTATAGGAAAATGAGAGGTGGATCATAAAACGGTCTATACAAATGATGACTTTTTATGATAATTAGTTCGTTTTTTGTAAGACACAAGTTGTTGTTTCCCGTGTTTGATGTAACAAGAAGCGTATTTTATACAACTCAACTTAGTAATTAGATTTGGAAAAACTTATTAGAATTTTGATTTAACTTGTTTGATACTTATGTTTTTTGTTTCTATTTGAACATTCACGAACAAGTATAGTCTACTTATGAATATATCACATGCCTACACGATAACAAATTTATTCAGATTATACAAAAGTTTCTGTACGCTTACAAACATAAATATATGTAGAATTGATTGATTGATCATTTATAGCTAACTTACTTAACCTCATATTGCAAATGGATAAGCATACATAAGACGATAATAAATATTCACACACAATACAATAGGTACGTTCTGAAAGGTAGGTTAACCGGGCATTGGAACAGGCTACATATAGGAGTTTTTTTTTCAGAGTTGTAACGTGAGGTAAGTGTGGTTACACAAACCCTAAATAAAGCATAGTTGATGGTGTTTCCATTACAACTGGACAGGACTGCTAATTTATACATCCAACGCAAACGGATACCCCACTTTATGTTTTGTGTACTGTTGTGTAGTTTTTGATTCTTTTTTTTTTGCCTTGGTGATGTCAGTTTATTGTCTACTTATAAGTTTGAATGTCCTTTTGGTATTATTTGCCTCTCTTTGGGAAAGATATTACTGGCGTGATGACCATAAGTTAAAAGACTGACAGACAACACTAGAAACAAACAAGTACATGTTCATAAATCTATTCACAGTAACATTAAGGTAAACTCCGGAATAAATTTAACAAACCATACTTAAACCTAGGACTGAACCTAGGTGCTGTGGAATTATTAACTGATTTTGCTTCACCTTTTACATAACTCGTGTTAATATACTGTTGATATGGAATGCATATACAACGAATGAGAGTAGAAAATAATGTGATATTATTTTGTTAATTGTTTATTGCCTTTTCGTTTTTCTATTTTTTTCTATTTTCTTTTCACTATAGTATTGTTAGTCTTTTTACGATTTATTGTTTTTTATTGTCCACTTGGTAGAAATATTAAACAGAGTGAGAGACCTGCCATCGACATCAGAGGCTAAGGACAAGACGGACTGATATAAAAGCTAAGACAAACATTGAATAGATTCTTGACTAAAGTCAGTTTCAACTAATTGTGAATGTAAACAATCAATTAAAAATTAATGATACAGAAGTATACAATTCTGTTTTATATTTCCTACAAACTAAAACACTACATATGTTGATGAGGCATATGCCTTTATTTTTTTTTATTGTGAGCTGGCATTAAAGTTAACAGTAAGCCTTGTTGGTGATAATAGTTCTTCGTTTTTTCACTCGCATTCAACTATTGTTTGACTGGTATGACAGTTAATCGACACATCATTGTAGTCATGGATCATTTCACATTGAAATTGCCATTACTTAACCATGTTTACATAACATTAACTCTAATATAATAGTATATAAACATTACGGTTTCGCTTAAAACTCTTAAAATCAGTTGAACTTAAATATATAAAGATATTTTCCAATGCTGCGCATATTTATGTTTCCAAGAATTACACAGTAAGTATGCATATGTAAATAGACTCATCATAGATACAAAAGTCTCAACAGTGACGTTCAAATAAAAAACATATAAAAGGGGGAAAACAATGAGACGTCAAAGATACACATGTAACATTCAAACTTATTAGTCGAAAACAAATT